ACAAAAAAGTGGATAAAAATCGCTAAAACATGGTTTACGTTGAAAAACTTCTGTTTGAAATAAGAAATATGTGTTCATTTCTACACTTTAAATGAAAAAAATTAGTTAGCAAAAACAGTATTTTTAGAATATTTGAGAAAAAAATTACGTTTTTTTTGAAAAATTATGAGAAATAACATAAGTCTAACGTCAATTCTTTCTTTTTAACGAAGAACGACTATTTTGAACTTGTTGAAGAAAGGAAGTTTCAAAAAATTTGATTTTTAGAAGTGTAGACAAATGTATTTGAAATCTGGTTTACGTTAAAATTAATAATTCGATTTAGAAAAAAAACAACAAATTGCATGATTTCTCTCAGCAACGCAACTTTAAATAAATAGTAATAAAAACAAATAATTTATAAGAAAAAAAAAAAAGAATTCTTGAAAAAATTAACAAAAAAGTTACAAAAATTATTAGTACAAAACAAAGCTGTTTCTAAACAAAATTAACCTGTTTCGTTTTTTTTTGCAAATTTTTTCTAGTTCGTTTTTATTAGAACAGCCTGTATCCCATGAATGGATGGTCTGATTCAATTTTGGAAAAAAAATGTTGAGTTTGAAAAACAATATATTTTTCAAAAAATTATAAAAGGACCTTGTAAGACATTTATTCCAGTTTTTAACACTATTTTTATATTCTCCCTATGGTCATGGTCAAACTTTTGTTTGAAAGAAAAAATATGTGTTAATTTCTACATTTTAAATGAAAAAAATTAGTTAGAAAAACAGTATTTTTAGAATATTTGAGAAAAAAATTACGTTATTTTTGAAAAATTATGAGAAATAACATAAGTCTATTCTTTTTAACGAAGAACGACTATTTTGAACTTGTTGAAGAAAGGAAGTTTCAAAAAATTTGATTTTTAGAAGAGTAGACAAATGCATTTGCAATCTAGTTTACGTTGAAATTAATCTTTCGATTTAGAAAAAAAAGAACAAATTGCATGATTACTCTCAGCAACACACCTTTGAATAAATAGTAATAAAAACAAATAATTTATAAGAAAAAAAACAGTAATTTAACAAAAAAGTTACAAAAATTATTATTACAAAACAAGGCTGATTCTAAACAAAATTAACCTGTTTCGTTTTTTTTGCAAATTCTTCCTAGTTCGTTTTTATTAGAACAGCCTGTATCCCATGAATTATGGTCTGATTCAACTTTGGTAAAAAATGTTTGAAAAAAAATATATTTTTCAAAAAATTATAAAAGGACCTTGTAAGACATTTATTCCAGTTTTTAACACTATTCTTATCATCTCTCTGTGGTCATTGGTTCCTGACATATCGATGATCAAAGATAAAAGAATCCTTTTCCATTTAAAATCAGATATCTCAGCGAAAAATTGACGTAAAAAGAATATAAAAAACGCAGATTAAAGGTGAACAAACATGCTATCCGGCCGACTTAACTAAAAAAAAAACCCACGTCTGTGGACCAAAAAAAACAAGAAAATTTAGACTTTTTTTCTCTATTACTTAGAACCGTAGCACAGAAAAAATTTTGGCAAAAAAATCTCAAAACTAGAAACTTAAAGCTTCCAAAGAAACAATTTTGAGCCTTTAAAAAATCTCGTGACATTTCTGTATTACAATCTGATTTAAATAAGTTACAAGACTGGTGTGCAAATAACAAAATGTTTTTAAATGTTGAAAAGTGTCAGTTTATTGTTTTCAGCAGGAAAATCTCTCCAACCCTACCGAATTATTTCATTAATAGTACAAAAATTACAGTAAAACAGTCTGTGAGAGATTTAGGTATATTACTTGATASTAAATTAACTTTTKTTCAACACCTTGAATTTATCATTTGTAGAGCTAWTAAGGCACTTGGCTGCATAAAACGTTATTGTCGTGATTTTAGAAATTTTAATTCCATTCGATAATCTGGAATCCGCATTACAAAATTCATGTTGGTAGGCTTGAAGCAATACAGTTTAAGTTTTTTAAATATATAAAATGGTTGCTGCCTTATTATGTGCAAGATAATTACAATATTTCATTAAATTATTTGTCTCTTCCTACACTTGAAATTAGAAGAAGATATCAGGCATTATGTTTTGTTTATAAACTTTTAAATAATTTGATTAATGATTCTTCAATACTAAATTTAATTAATTTTCACGTTCCACAGTATAATAGTAGATCAAACCAATTATTCAAAATTTCGTTTGCACACAATAATTATCTGTTTAATTCTCCTCTAAATCATCTTTTAAGAATTTGTAACATGTACAGTGTCAAGTTGGACTTTTTTAATTTTAAATCCTTTAATAGTTTCAAGCGTTTTCTAAAAGTTTCGTTGAGTTAGTCATTTAGTATTCTTTTTTAATGTTTTCTATTATAATTTTATCATTACTTAATGTAAAGTTATTATTATTACCAAAAAAAGCCTCAATAATCTCATAAAATCTCACACTTTTTGATGATAAAAAATAATTGAAAATTAGTTATTTCGACCGCTTCGAGCTTTGCGAAAGCGCCCTCCACGTCCGCGATTGCAATCCGAAAGGCGACGGTATCTCAAGCCAGTATCACCTGTTGGATAACATCGTTTTGAGGACCAGGTAAGAGCTTTCAAGCTCTCTTATTCCTTTATCCAGATTTTTTTCAGTGTCTGGATAATGGGAGTGATCGGTTGTACTGGAAATTTGATCGTATTGTTAGGGCGTTTACTCGCACCCACCAACAACGTCGTTCATTCCCTCTATCTTCGCAATTTGGCACTTTCAGACCTCCTCATGGGGGTGTATCTGTTTGCGATTGCAATTGCCGATCAGCATTACAGAGGGGAGTATTTGAGATATCAGTACTCCTGGAGGCACAGCTATGTGTGCAATTTTTGCGGTGAGTTAATTAATTAAATAATTAATTTCATGATACGGTTGTGCTTAGTATAAAAAAAATTAACATTGACTTTTTATGATTTTTGGAAAATATTAGAAAAATACAAAAATGATCAAAACACAATTCTAAATTTTTTACATTCAGTTTATTATTTATTATTTAAAAAATAAATAATATGTGGTTTAAGTGCTATAACAATGTTGTACAGAGTGTTTTCTTAATATTTTGCAATGTTGCAACCATATTATACACCCGAGTAACTAATTTGAATTTTTTCATTTTTTTTTAAACTTTATCACCCTGTATATCCAAAAAAAAGTTTGATAAGAGTATCATTTACTTGACAAATTAATGTTATTTTTTAATAGAGTGGTTGTATTTTTCAGTAAAAAAGTAATTGAAAAAAAATTGTTTCAAAATTTAGAAACTTTTGCCTTAATAAGGTGGTGGTTGGTAATAATTTTCGAAGTGTCATGATTTCCTGATTTCATCTGATTTTCTCATGACAACAAATAAAAGATTTTCTCAGGATTTTCTGTGAATTCCCTTGATTTTTAATTAAAAGAAATCTTGATAAAATCATAAAAAAATCAGAATAATTTAAAAGAAATAAGAGATAATCAGAGAAAATTAGAAGACAATTCTTCAGTATTTAGAAACATTTGCTCTAATAAAGTGGTGGTTGGTATTAAATGTCACAAAGTTTGAAAAATTCGATTTTCGAAGTGTCAAGCTGAATTAACAATGAATATTGCAAATATTTCATGAACACCACCTGAAATAAGAGAAATCGCTCAAAACGCCGCTGAAAATCACCATTACCAACCTCTAAAAAGTAAATTGTGCTAGTTTATTTCAGTACCCGAATTGGTGTTAAAATGGGTCATTAAAGCATCGGTTTTGATACTGAAATAAACTTTCTTTCAGACGTAAAATAGAAAAACAATTATTAAAACACTAAAGTTTATTCCCAAAATAAAAAATCTTAATTTGAAATTTGATTTATTCATAATTATAAAGTAATAATCAAATTACTTTGCCTGTGAAAAGTTTGAAGTTAATTGATAGAAAATATACAGTTCAGGTTGGGAAGTGATCAGTTGATATGTAATGTGTCATTTCGAGTTGGGAAATGGCCACTAAAGAAGTGACCACTTCCCAACCTGAACTGTCATAATACTATAATATTTTTCAAAATTTGATAAATCTTGTATTGGCTTTCTGTTGTTTAAAGAGAATGATTGTGAATAAAATAGTATACAAATTTTGGTGGTCGTTACTTCATCATATGAAACACTTTCCACCTCGGTATATAATCTACTATTTCTTCAAGAAAAAAAAATCTGCTCTAAGTTATTTGAAGAAGCAAAATAGTTGTTAACTGACATTTTACAGGGCAAAATTAATTACATTTATTTAATTATTTATTGACTTTCTAGTGATTTCCTCTAACTTCTTTAGAATTTTTCAGATTTCCTTTAATTTCTTTTAAATTCCTTTGATTCTCCCATGTCTCTCTAAATTTTGCAAAATTTCATTTAATTTTTTCATAATTTCTTTAATTTTTTTTTGATCTTCTGTGATACCTTCTGATTTTTTCTGATTTAAACAGATTTCTCTTAGTTTCTCCTTTCTCCAAAATTCCTTTGAATTCTTCAAGATTTCTTCTAATTTACCAATTTTCTCATAATTTCCTTTGATTTTTCCTGATTCTTTCTGATTTTTTTTTCCAATGAATTTTTCTGGTTTCGTCTTATTTTATCTGATTTTTCTTGATTTTTTCAGGAATTTGAAAACAAATAATTTTTTAAATTTTCTTTAAATTCCCTTGATTTTTTCTGATTTTCTTGATTCCCTAATGATTTTTTCTGATTTCGTCTTATTTTCTACGATATTTCCTGATTGTCTTAAAATTTCGTCTAATTTTCTCTGATTATCTCTTATTTATCTTAAAATCCTCTAATTTTTTATGATTTTCTCAAGATTTCTTTTAATTTGCAAAGAAACGGATGATTTCCCTTCATTGTTTATGATTTTCCTTGATTCCTCAATAATTTTCTCTAATTTTTCCTGATCTTCTTTAATTCATTTTAAATTCTTCCGATTCTTTCCGTTTTTTCTGTTTCTCAAGACTTCTTATATAATTTCTTTTATTTTTTCTTGATTTTTTTTAAATAAATAAACAAATACATTGTTTCCGCTTGTAATAAGAAAACTTGAAAAATTAAGTGCAAAATTTAAACTCATAATATCGAAATTTTTATAGGTATAATTTTTTTAACATTATTTTCATGTTCATGGTATCTTACCTATTTTTACCTATTTTTCTCTGGGGCGCGAGTTCTGGTGCACCCTGATTTCTTTCATTTTTTTTTTTTTTGGTTTTCTGTGATTCCTTCTGATTTTATTTTCTTATAAAACTGTATCACCCTGTATATGCCAAAGGAAGTTTTATAGGACTATCATTTATTTCACAAACTAATGTTATTTTTTATTTTGCATTTTTCACAACTTATGTAATTGTTAAAAAATGAATTGAAATTTGATGGAAATTAAAATTCGATACATTTGCCCTAAGTTTAAATATAGAAAATGGTTTTCCAAAGCTATAAATCTTCTCTTGGCAATTTTTCAATCGATAAAAGTTTCAAATAATCGAAAACATGTCAAAACAAGGCATAAATCACAATTTTATGATGAAAAACATTTTCCAGTTTCACTTTCTCTCAAAACAATTAAAGTAAAACTAATTAAACCGACTCTTTAAGTGCGTAAATTATCGATTTTTCTTAATAGAGTTGAAATTAATTAAGTAGTTAATAAAAAAAATAAAATTTGTTCACTTGTCAATTATCCATGATGACGTACAAATTAATTATTAAATTAAACCGCAACGTTGACGAGCTTCCAAGAATAATAGATGATGGTTAAGGTGACCTTTGAGATTTTTGCCGACTATCATATTTGTTGGAAAGCGGCCAAATTGGCCGAAACATAAAAGGGAACAATCGATTTGATTATTAAAAAAAATGACAAAACACGGACTAATTCCTTGTATTGTGAAAAAATTTGCTTTGTCTTCAAATTATTACCACAAAATCTTTTTTATTAAAAAATCCTGTTTCAGATTACCAACTAATCAACTCCCGAAAGTTCAAAGTTCAATTTGTACCCAATTTATTAATTTTTCGTGGCGTTATTCGATAATAGTTTATTATCGCAATCAACTATAATTAACAAAAGCAAGATTTAATAGCATTAATTATAGCACGCTTTGTGAAAGCTCTCTAGGGACCAAAACTGACCGCATAAATTACAAATCGATAATAACTGTATGTTCTAGGCCGAAGAAAAAAATTTTTATTCAATTTGTGGGAAAAAAAATTAATTATCGATTTATTTTCCCACTTAAAGTGTTCTGTCAACAATTCGCAGGTTTTTTGAGCACCCTCTCATGCGAATCGTCTGTTCTCATCCTCACGTTGGTGACGTGGGACCGATTTGTTTCGGTAACGCAACCCTTAGCTAGAAAACAACCCTCACCGAAAACGGCCGCTTTCACCCTTATCGTTCTGTGGAGTATAGCGGCGGCTGTGGCTTTGGCACCGCTATCCGAGGGCTATTTTGGGGATGAATTCTACGGCAATAATGGGGTGTGTTTGCCGCTGCACATACACGAGCCCTATGCCAAGGTGAGTAATTGGGGGATGTTATGTATTAAATAGTATACAGGATCGTTCAAAAGTCTGGAAACGATTTTATTCTGGCGAAACTATCAATTTTTTTGGCAAATAAATTTATAGGTGTGCAATGGCTATAAAAATGCTATTCAAAAAAAAAAATTAAATATTAATTAATTCATTATACTTACGCGATAAACATAGTAACATTTTTTTTTAAAGGAAACGTACCACATTTTTTTTTAGACAACAAGCTTGTTATATGAATTGTTGCTGTGCAATTTTTTTTTTTTGAGTAAACTACCATTTCTTTTCTTGGAAATAAGTTAATAAATATTTAAAAGTTGTAAAGGGGCGATGCCAAAATATTTTTTATTTTAATTAATTGCTTAAACTTTTGAGATTACTACCATACTAATAATTTTTGTCTTAAATAAAAAACAATTTTTATTTATTGTTTTCCAAAGATAAATGCATAAACACATTTTAAAAATGTACAAAAATATTTATTGAAAATGTTACAATTATGTTAAAAAAATTATAAATTTTATCTGTTGTCAAAACTTTCTTCCACCGGCCAAGTTTTGTGAAACGAGCAGCATAGTGCGAGTTTTATAAAAAACGAGTTCCCACAAATGACTTATGAAACATTTTTTTATGCGCGTTTTACCTGCTTTTTTAACATAAAAGACATTTTTTCAAAATTTAGAAACTTTTGCCTTAAGTGTCATGATTTCCTTTGATTTTTCCTGATTTTTTCTGATTTCATCTGATTTTCTCATGACAACAAATAAAAGATTTTCTTATGATTTCCTCTGATTTAAAACAAATCTTAATAAAATCAGAAAAAAATCAGAGGAATAAGAGATAATCAGAGAAAATTAGACTAAATTAAAAGACAATTTTTCAAAATTTAGAAACTTTGGATGGTAATAAATGTTACAAAGTTAAAAAAAAATCGATTTTAGAAGTGTAAAGCTTTAAATATTTTTCAAAATTTTGTTTAATTAACGATTAATATTGCAAATATTTCATGAAATAAGAGAAATCGCTCAAAACGCCGCTGAAAATCACCATTACCAACCTCTAGAAAGTAAATTGTGCTAGTCTATTTCAGTACCCGGATTGGTGTTGAAATAGCTCATTAAAGCATCGCTTTTGATATCGAAATAAACTTTCTTTCAGACACAAAATAGAAAAACAATTATTAAAACACTAAAGTTTATTCCCAAAATAAAAAATCTTAATTTAAAATTGATTTATTCATAATTATAAAGTAATAATCAAATTACTTTGCCTGTGAAAAGTTTGAAGTTAATTGATAGAAAATATACAGTTCAGGTTGGGAAGTGATGATTTCCTTATCAATTGATATGTAATATGTCATTTCAAGTTGGGAAATGGCCACTAAAGAAGTGACCACTTCCCAACCTGAACTGTCATAATACTATAATATTTTTCAAAATTTGATAAATCTTGTATTGGCTTTCTGTTGTTTAAAGAGAATGATTGTGAATAAAATAGTATACAAATTTTGGTGGTCGTTACTTCATCATATGAAACACTTTCCATCTCGGTATATAATCTACTATTTCTTCAAGAAAAAAAATCTGTTCTATGTCATTTGAAGAAGCAAAATAGTTGTTAACTGACATTTTACAGGGCAAAATTAATTACAATTATTTAATTATTTGTTCACTTTTTAGTGATTTCCTCTAATTTCTCCTGATTTTTTTCCGATTTCCTTTAATTTCTTTTAAATTCTGATTCTCTCATGTCTTTCTCTGAATTTATTAAAATTACCTTTAATTTTCTCGTGATTTCTTTTATTTTTTTTGTTTTCTGTGATTCCTTTTTTCTGATTTCTTCTAGTTTTTCTAAATTTCCTTTGATTTCTCCTAAATTCCTTTCATTTCTTCAAGATTTCTCCTAATTTACCAATTTTCTCATGATCTCCTTTGATGTTTCGTGATTCTTTCTGATTTTCCAAGAAATTCTTCTGATTTCGTTTTATTTTCTTGAGAATTTTTTCATGATTTTCTCTGAATTCCCTTGATTTTTCCTGATTTTCTTGATTCCATAATGTTTTTTTCTGATTTCGTCTTATTTTATTTCCTGAAAATTTAGTCTAATTTTTTTCTGATTATCTCTTATTTCTCTTAAATTCCTTCTGAGCTTTTTCAAATTTCCACAGATTTGTCCTAGTTTCTCCTTTGATTTCTCCTAAATTCCTTTGATTTCTTCTAAGTTACCAATTTTCTCATGATTTCTTTTGATTTTTCCTGAATCTTTCTGATTCCCCAATGGATTCTTCCGGTTTCGTCTTATTTTCTTTGATTTTTCTTCATTTTCTCAACACTTTTTTTAATTTGGCAACAAATAAACGATTTTCTCATAATTTTCTCTCTGAATTCCCTTGATTTTCTTAATTCTCTAATGAGTTTTCTAATTTCGTGTTATTTTCTCCTATATTTCGTGATAATTTCGTCTAATTTTCTCTTAAATTCCTCTAATTTTCTGTATTTTCTCAAGATTTCTTTTAATTTGCAAAGAAACGGATGTTTTCTCTAATTCTGGAGATTTCCTTAAATTTCTTTTATAAACTTCCGATTCTCTCTGTTTTTCTCTGTTTCTCAAAATTTCCTACAATTTCCAGTAATTTTTCTTAATTTTTTTTGATTTCTTCTAATTTTCTAATGATTTTTTCTGATTTCTCCTAATTATTATTATATTTTCTATCACTAAACCAAATAAATTTAACAAACTTGCAAAATTAATTTCTGACACACTATTTACCGCAAAATTTCCATCAAAATTACTGAAATAATTGGCAATATTAGTGATTTTCAAACCACACAAAACTTTCTGCGTTTTCAAAAATTAAAACACACAACCCCGCAAAATAGTTTTACGTTCCCAAAGCTGAAAATTCAATAAAACCGTAATAAAATTTGCAATAAACCGCTGATTCGGACCTAAAATCGGATGTAAGTATTACAATCCGGATTTAATAAAAAAATACTAGACATTTTATGCGAAATTAAATTCAAAAGTAATATTACAGTAACTGGAACATTATTATTATTTTTTTTCGAGTTGAGCAAAACCGGATTTTATTATTAAAGTTTGGTATCGGTTTTAATTATTTTTTTTTAATAGTTTTAAATGAGCCAACTTGCAGCAATGTGGCTAATCTCCTCCACGCGAGCAACTTTTGCCCTAATTTTAATAAAATTCTCCAATTCCATTACCCCCGAGGCGGAATCGACTTAATTCCGACCGATTTTTCAATAGAAGCAGCTGCTTTTCTTACGGGAAAATTTCTTTTGTCAAGGGAATATTTTCCGACATCGTAAATCGCAACCATCGCCACAAATTTGAATAGTGTCATACAAATGTGAATTTTATTAAAATCGCATTATGAAAATTTCATATTCGAAAAACTCGAGTTTTGTTATTTATGTTGTATGTCGAGTATTTGACCCTAAAAAGGGATAAAAAACTTAGTGTTGACAATTAGAGCTTGTTTCGAAACGTGATACTAATTGGAGTTTTCTTTAATGGGGAGGTTTTATTATGCAGGGCGGAAAACGTCCCATAACCGACTTAATTAAAAGCAAACTGTTGAAAAAAATAAAAGTAATAAAAAGAAAAGGCGATTTTCTCGAGACGACAAGGTTACAACAAGGATTTAGATTTGATCTCCTTTATTTGTCAACAAAAATACTTTTTATCAAAAATAAAAGCGTAATAAAAGAGGACGTCATTAAAATTTATCGACAAGTTTAAATTACATTGTCCTTAGAGATATAACAGATACTTCAATCCTTGCAAGTTTTCAACTGTAATAAAAATAAAATTAGCTTCTGTTTTCACGTGGGATAATGGATCGAGAAAGATTTTGCGTGATGAAAAGGGAGATAACTAATGAACTTTTAAACACTTATTTACTACTGCTTTATTGAATTTTTTTCTGGAACAATTTAACATTAGAAAAATTTTATCGCTTCGATAGCGCTAATTAAAATAATTAAAAATGGTAGAATTATCGATTTTTGGAGAAGATGATGCAAATTAAAAAAAAATCAAAAAAGTCTGAATATTTCGAAAACGGTCAAATTTAGGTATAGGGAAGTATAATAAAAATTCTCCCAAAATCACTTGATTAATCCAAAAACGCAATAAAAAACATAAGTTTCTATTTAAAATAACGAAGTTAATACTCATTTCCGGTGTAACAGGAAGTGCCACCATCTTGAAAATAGTTTCATTGAGCAGAACCTAACCGATTATGGCTATAGACAAAATTTTAGATAAATATCATTATTAGAACTCCCAATATTTCTAATGTGAGGTTTAGCCGGAACACCCTGTATAAAACCGATAAAATTTGTCACTTTTTAAGTTTGTTCACTGAATGTAACATCGTCGTTACGAATTTTTTTAGAAAGGGACAACCTCATCGCTGTTTAAAAATACATATTTTATTACAAACACAAAAACATGTTATACAAAATAGAATAATAAATACTACGAAAAATGTAACACTTGGAAATCAAAAGATAAAATAAAAACTCTTTCAAAATCATTCAAAAAAACAATCAATAGAAATAAAAGTTTTAAATTTCGTTTATCTCAACCAAAATAGTCTATGATAAAAAAAGTTTAAAAAAACAAGTTGCAAAATGAGCGTGTTTTTTACTAGACATGTGCAAAAAACACTAAAAACAGCCATTTTGAATCGTGTTTTATGCAAGATTTTTTCCAATTTGGTTGTGAAAAGCATCAAATTCGAATTTAAAATCTGTAATTTCAATAATTTTCCAAAATCATACTAGGTCGTGGCGTTGCTATGAAAATAGTGTTATTTGTTTTCTTAATGTCACACTTTTTAACACTAGTGATAAAATAATGTCATATTTGACATTATTTTGACACATTTGACAACTATATAATGGTTGCTTTTCACAACAAAATTGAAAAAAAATATAGTTCACTCAATATTTTTTTCTACAGGGTTGGGAATATTCCGCAGCAATGTTCATGCTAGTCAACGCATTAGCCCTAACATTCATTTGTTACGCTTACATGCGTATGATAAACGAAATCATAGCAAGCGGCGTCGCATGTCGATCAACCCGTCAAAGTCAAGAACGCGATAAAGTAGCCCAAAGATTCGGTATAATTATTTTCACCGATTGTTTATGTTGGGTTCCTGTTATAGTCGTCAAGTTGGTAGCGCTCGCAGGTAACTAAAAATCCCCCAAAATGACACTAGTGACAAGTATTTTTGACAGGTTATCCAATCCCGCAAGATTTGTACGCCTGGCTTGCGATTTTCATTCTACCAATCAATTCAGCCCTGAATCCGGTCCTGTACACCCTCACCACGACTATATTCAAAAAACAGGTCCGTACTAGCCTATTATGCCACTTACCGATTTAGTGATTTCAGATGAGGAAAATTTTAAATTCTTGCATACGAAAACGAAGAGCTGAACCACATTCCACGTCCGAATCGGGTTTCAGTTTAAGTTTTGGGGTTTTTCCGAAAGGTGGCAGCACGAGACGGGTTATGAGTTACAGGGTAGGTTTGAGGCAAAACTGGAAAGGAAATGAAATTTGGTTTCAGGGAACACAGAGTAGTCTCACAACGAGCAAAAATAGTTGGAAAAGGGCCCCCACAGCTGTCTGATAATTGTACTAAACGTATTTTTTCCTATTAGTGTTAATCAAGGTTGTTTAAATGTTAAAAAAAAATGGGGAAATACGTTTCAAAACTTGTAAATAGTAACAATAAGTGTATTTTTTATATTTACAATAATTTTAAGAAATCTGTGATTGGTGTGAAAAATAAACTATGCAATATTATCCGAGAGTCTCACAACCTCAGACAGCCCCTCTAATTTTTCATACAAACTAGCACAAATTTTCAAGTCCTCATCGCTCAATTCTTGTACCTTGAGTGGAATAAACTCAACACTGGCACTTTTAATCCTATAGTTGAATTTCTCCAACCCGGAGACAACTTTATTTAGACTTGAGGCCCCACAAGTGAATTCCAGATAGCCCCCAGTGTCTTTGACATCCTCAGCCCCCACTTCAATAGCATGATCGGTGGCCTCCTCCAACTCGCTCATTTCAGCCACGATAACCCCCTTCTCCTCAAACAAATGCATTCCGCCCCCATCACTATATTTCCCTTTGTGTTTTTTCAAAATCGTCGAAATGTTCTGTTTCAACGCGTGCAAATTACTCGTAAACACCTCACACAAGATTATGCAACCCCCAGGGCCCCTACAAAAACACAATGAAAATAAATCACCAAAAAACCCTAAAAAAAAACACTTTATTTCAATTAAATGAGACTTGCTGTTTGACTTGTCTTGTTCGCAGCTTCTCAACACACTCTGGATGGTGGCTGTGGGCATGTTTGCCCGTTTTGCTTGCTCGATTACATTTTCCAATTTTAGATTTTTTTTTATATCGATTGAGCCACCCTCTAAATTACCAAAGTGAGGTTATGTTAAACAAAATGCGAACTACTGTACCTATTTACCTTGAATTGCAACTTTCATTTGGCGACTGAGTTTCGTGAAGAGGAGAGAGCGTTCGGCGTCTTTAGCCCCCTTAATGTGTCGAATATTTTGCCATTTTGAATGACCCGCAAATCGGTAAAATGTCAAATTTGTTGTCTCTAATGCACTAGGGAGGCGCAAACAGACTCTTGTCAAGTGTTTAAACATATTAGGGCTGATTTGGTGGTGTTTTTGGTCAAAACGGGGCACTAAACTAACCACAAAATTTGACAGAAATGACAGTTTAATCAGAGGTGCCAGATTAAAAACATAAAATTCACCAGATCGGAGCCCAAATTTTCACCAAATTACGATTTGTGTTTCAGCAATTTTCCACTTTATTTTGGCAAAAAACCTTTAAATTTTGCGAGTTTTAATATAAAAACGCTCTAAATTAACAGAAACGAACAAAAAACAACGAAATTTTGACCCAATTTTACAATTTTTTGGACTTTGGCGAATTCCTCGGCAAAAAACGATCTAAATTAATAAAAACCACAAAAATAACGCAATTTCGGCTTAGTTTTGCATTTTTTATAGATTACTTTTCGATTTGGTAAGTTTCTCGGTAAAAAACCCTCTAAATTCATAAAACTAAGCGAAAATCAGGCGTTTCTAGATCTAATTTGGCAATGTTGTACTTTATTTTGAGAATTAATTGCATTTGTAACTTAAAAACTCACTTTAACGCGAAAAAAATAAAACCCCTATCGCCCTAATTCCTTAAAAACATGCTAAATTGCTCAAAAAAGGCACAAATTGGGTATTTTAGTAATTTTTTTGATATGATTTTCGGCCTATTTCGATTTTTCGGTTCAATTTATCAAAATTCCGCAAAAAACTAAGTTGTTAACATAAAAACCTACCTCAACACTCAAACAATGTAAAAAAAGCACCAGTTTAGACTTAATTTGGAGATTGTTTGATTAATTTTTGACAAATAAAGATCAAATCTATATTCAAACAAAAAGCACAAAATCGCCCCCCACTGCTTAAGCTCTTGAAAAAAGCAAAAATGGCATGCTTTTTGGCCTAATTCTGCGATTTTTCGGCTTGTTTTCAACAAAATTTTGCGAAATAATTGCGTTTCTAGCTGAAAAACGTGCAAAAACGCAAAAATTATGTAATCCTCGACTTAATTTCTTGATTTTTTAGTTTGAAAAACATGAGATTTTAGTACAAAAACGTGCTTAAAAGCATTTCCGGCCAAATTTTGTAATTTCTCGGCTTGTATTATTTTTGTCTTAATTTTGCTCAAAAATTAGTTAAATCGAGTAAAACAGTCAAAATAACATCAATATTAATCCTTTTGATTTTTAGGTGTGTAAAATGAACAAGTAAGTTATACCTAGAGCCTAAAANTAATATTTTTTTATAACAAAAAATATCTAAAAATCTGCTTTTGAACCTTCGAAAAAGAAAAAAATTATCATTTTCGGCCTAATTCTGTGTTTTTTGGCTTGTTTTTAATAAAATTTTGCAAAATAATTGTGTTTCTAGCTGAAAAACGAGCTAAAATTTTCGCAAAAAATCGTAGATTGTAGTACAAAAACCTGCTAAAAATATTCTCGGCTTATTTAGTACAAAAATCGAGTGAAATAAACAAAATAACAACAATATTAAAAGTTTTTGTGATTTATAGCGTGTTTGAATAAGATTTTGCAAAATAAATGGTTCAAAAACGAAAGGAGTCGAGCGAAACAAACTAAAAATAATATCAAATTTCGATTTAATTTTGTAATTTTTTTTATTACTTCAACGAACTTTTTTGCTTTTATGTCAAAAATGTGCTTAAAAGACAAAAATAACGTTAGATTTTTGGCCGGTTTTTACCGAAATTTTGCGAAATAATTGTGTTTCTAGCTGAAAAAGTAGACAAAAATAAATTGTCATTTTCGATCCTGTCTAGTAAAATCTTGTAAAAAACAAACAGAACTATTTTTAACCAATTTGGCAATTTTTCGCTTTTTTGACGAAATAATAAAGTGAAAAATGTTCGAAAAAAAAATATTGGAATTTTTACAAGTTTTCATCAAATCACTAGACTGACATAAAAATCACCAGATTTGGTGAAATTTCACCTCTGCTGATAAAGCAGATTTCTGTGAAGTGAAGTAATGGGAATTTTATTAAAACAAACTAATAAATTGTAAATTAAATCAGCAAAATCACTATTTAATGACACAAATAATCAATGTCGGCAAAGTAGGTTCCTGTAATGTGCGTCAACAAATAATACAATAATGTAATAAAAACGTTTATTTAATTAAAGGATTTCCATAGTTGATCAAATTGGACAATTCTCTCGCATCATAACCCAACATTTCTTTCAAATCACAGACAAATTTATAAACAAATCTCTCCCCATGAACTTTCGAAATCATATCCCCGTCATAATAATACCTCAAAGCACGTGACAACTTTTCATAATTCATCGCCGGTTTGTTCTTCCTCTCGCCCCACAACTGCGCCACCAATTGTGGATTCTTCAACTTAAATTCTCCGTCATTCCCCGTCCAATGTATCACCGATTTATACTCTTTACTCGTCAACAACTCTAACAAAAACTGCCACAATTGAATCTGTCCGTTATTCCCCGACTTATTCTCAAAATAAGTCACCGCTGATGCGTAATTATTCATCACACGATCGATTCGTCTTTGTTTCATCACCTGGGGTTCCCCGCGTTCTTCTTTTTTCGTCGCGACGACTTTCATTTTTCGCAATAATTCAAGATGAGTCCAAAAAACATCACCAGGATCGTATGGAACGATTTTTTGAAAATCGCCGACGTTTAAATCGTATAATTCGCGCCCTGTCATTGACCAATCAGATAGTTTTATGTTGGGCAAGTTAAATTGACGGACGGCCCATTGCACCCAATGACGGACATGCACTTGGGACCATTCCATTGGATCGTGAGGGATTTTCAAACGGTCTTGCTCTTTCTTGTACGCCAAATCGACTTGCCATTGGACGACGGCTTTAGGGGGCGGGGCTTCGCACCGCTCACTTTGATTTAACTCATCTGAAATTGAAATTGTGACAACTGACAAGTCTTATGGTCAGTGATGCCAGATTAGGGAATTTTTCCCTAGTTCTAGGGATTTTTGTAATTTGCAATAAAAACCTAAAAATTTTTGTAAAATATTTGCGCAGCTTTGATTTTTAAATACTTAAAAAAATACTTCCGAGGAATTCTGTCTAAAAAAAGTAATCTAGTTTGTTATGATATAATAACTATGTATTACCCAAATTTTTTTTTATAATAAGTATA